GATCAGAGTTATTGAACTACTTCAGAGCCAAGATATGTGTTAAAGACGCAAAGGTGAAAATACCTGCGAATGAAAGATTCCATCCTGTATCCTTTAGAAAGAATGGATGACGAGAGTTTGCTTTTATCTAATCAAAAAATCAATTTAATATTTATACTGGTAAAGACATTAACTTTAAAGGGAATGATAAGATAAATAAAATTAAACGTGGTAGGACAACTATAAACCTTCAGCTTAATACTATTAATTTCGTTTTGGCATTTTGCGTCGATTCACTTTTCAAGCTGTTGCCACAAACTATTACAGCCCTGTATTATATTTAAAGAAATTAAATAATGAAGAATCTACATAAATGTAGATATGTTTCTAGTACATAAATGTAGATATGTTTCTTGTATGTATGCTATGATAAAAAAAAAGGTACATAGAACCATCAAATTTTGAATAACGTAATCCTCCAGCAAATATGGGCATCTGGAAGCCCTAATTTGGAATTTAGAATTTGTGTTATTATCTATTTCATATTTTGTCGGACATTAAAAATTTTTTTTATTAAGAAACTCAACGATTTCAAAGCGAGGAATGGCAACACTGTATGAAAACAAACAGCATTTTTATCTCCAGCGCCATCGAATAGAGACATCGAATATCGAATGACGTAATCCTACTGCAAATATGGCATGCAGAAGTCCAAATTTGAAATTTGGAATTTGTTTTATTATCGATTTCATACTTCGTAAATTTTTAACGAATTTTTGGTTAACAAACTCAAGGATTTCAAAGCGAGCCATGGCAACGTTGTTCAGATAAAACATATTTGTCTCCAGCGCGTGAGACTGTGTATCGGAAATTCTAAAGATATGCTCAATTTAAAATTATTTGCGATTTTTGAACTGAATTTTATGGTTTAAGTGCGAAGAACATGATAGTTAATAAATAAAGATAACACACAAAATGTTAAAAAAACGCTTCTTTGGGCGTATTTTGAAATCTGAAACCTTTCAGATATTTTTTTCGTTATTGTACTAAGTACATTGTGGTTTAGTCTCCTTGTTAGGTATAGTGTAACTTAATTTATATATAAGTTCCACCTACCATAAATCAAAAGGTGGAAGGAGATGTCGAGAACAACTCATCGGATGCGTAAACGTAATCGTCCTTAATGCTATTTTTCATGGTTTGGCAACAGTGTATTTTTTGCTTTTAAGATTTATGTTTAGAATATAAAAAGAAAGACGGAAATGCGCAATGTATTCACACTGATGTGAACTGCCTCTTTCATTTTGATTACTTAGGCGGATTGCCTGCTATATTTTGCTTAATTATACCTCTTTTACGTTTTTTCTTGAAGAACCGATTAAATGAATGAAATTCAGATAAAATCTCGCAACAAAGTTTGCTTTCTGGCCTAGCTTTAAATGAATGAAGTTTTCAGTATTTCGATTAAGTTCAACTGTAAAGCCTGTTACATTTATTTACTATGTGATATAAGTCATCTGTGAAATCTCTTATATTTATTTACTGAAACCAAAAGTATCGGTTGGTAAAATACTGTTATCAAAGCTAACCACGAAGTTCTTATTTTACTTTCTAGCCTTTGTAAATATTTTATTGAACCCTAAATCCAGTAAAAGCGGAGTCGTCAAGGCAACTGCATCAGACTGTGAAACAGCTGCAATTCTTTTTCAGTTGTTCTTGTTGCTTGTGATTTTCTGTAAGAACCAATTACGACACCCACTATTACTTCTCCATCATCAGTTAGGCTAAATGTACTTACTTTTAAGGTCATTCATGCTTCCCTCTCTCTCTCTTTTTTTCTTTCCTTTTTTGGATGAGGGAGAGAGCAAATGAAAGAAAAGAATTATAAAGTGAATATGTGTCTCACAAAACGAAACGCAAATGTTGAGTAACGGTTGCAAAATAAATGTTTAATGTTCGACGTAAATACTTGAGCGAACGATTTTTCTCTTTTTTCCTTAACTTAATGCATTTGAATTTTGCTTTTAGAATTTTTAAAGCTAACGAAACTAATTCCACATTGAATTTGAAGATCCTAAGCATAGCTTAGAAAATAAAATTAAGTGGTACACAGCACAATCAATATAAAATTTTTCATTAATAAAAATTTAACTTCTAATCTATTCTTAAGATAGATCTTAATATGAATAATATTTTTTTATTTGTAAAAGCAAGGGCAAAATTTGGATGACAAAGAATATTTTTCAAACTTACTCTAGATCAGTTAAAACATTTTAGAAATATCTAAATGTATAAGTAACTAAAAGATTTTTAAAATAAAATTCTAAATAATAATTAGTTCTTATATCGAATAATAATCACTATAATTAGTCAGAAAAATGCTCTTTAACGAAATCATCAAAAATATGCTTTTTGACTAAAAATATGTTACGTTTTCAGCTTTTCAAAATAGTATAAATAATTATTATTTTTGTAGCGATGTTAGTCGAGAGCACACTAAGACAAATATTCCTGAAAACATTAGCAATGCCTTATAACTATTTCGACAGCGCTGTGGTAGTGCGCTTGTTTGTACATTAAGAGGCCTAAATTTCGAATTCTAATCGAATTCTGGAATTTACTTTAGCATCTAGTTAAAGACAGTACATATACTAGGCAAGAATTGTTTAAAATTGATGCTGTACAAAGCCAAAATGTATTTCCCAGGGAAAAAATACTTTCCTTTCCCCAAAGTACTTCAGTACAAAATTATATTTTCTTGATGATCACTTTAATACATATTCGACGTTGGAATAGGTAATGGTCGTCTTAAACAAAAATATTATAACTATACTTACCACATTTATTTACTTTTTTAAATTCCTACTATTAGCTCTTCCTATATCTTGTTCAAATTTTCAATCGTTAATAAAATACTTTTTATTCATCCACTCAAGTTCAAATACATTTGTTTAAACTTGTAGTGGATGACACTTGATGTTAATACAGTTTTTCACACATTTTATTTATTATTTATTACGTTTCCTTATTATTTATGTACTTATTTTTAATCGACTAATATTAATACAAGTCAATTCTCCTGAAAAATTTAACATATAATTATTGAAACTTCTGAATTGTTTATAAATTTCTAAGAAATTTAATGTCAAAGTGTTAATCCTTTTCTAAGAAATTCAAGTAATATAAAATTATATTAAAAATTATGTTAAATAAATTATATTAATTTTTTTCTTTGTTGACCTAAGTAGGAATTGACTTTAAAAAATTTAAATAAAAAAATTGAAAAAATTAGCTAAGTTTAAAATAGCTAAAGATCGTGTGATATTATTTTGTTCTAATGCTTCAGAACATCGTATGGTGAAATCACTGCTGGTAAAACGGGCCCTAAGCCCATGTTCAATGGAAGGTTGTAGATGTCAGTGAACTACCTGTTCACTTGCAGGCGAACAAGAAAGCCTAAGTAATCACTGCTATTTTTACAAAATGGTTCGTCAAATGTTTAGTCCCTGAAGTCAGACGTTATATGACAGTGACAGGTCTCGAAGAAATTCTTCAGGAAAATATGTCCAACGACTTCATAGTTCTTCTGATTCTTGAAAATGTATCTGGCCATCCTATCTTGGAACACCAGATATACAAATTTTATTTTTGCCACCTAATATTATATCTAAGTTACAACCGCTAGACGGCTTAACCAAGCCACAATTGTGACATTTAAAATGAACATTCTAACCCGTTTGGACAAATTGAATGACTGAATACTACAGTGACTGATATTTGAAAGAAATTCTAAGTTATGGTAGTACCAATCAAGTTGGATTAATGTTAACTAAATTAGTAACTTTGAAAGCATGTTGAAAACAGGTTTAGCGATATTGTGCAAATCCCGATTATTCATCATCAATGAGACTGAATTTCCCAGCATTATTACAATGGCACACATTATTGGTGGAGGAGAATTCGATGATATTTCGTTTAAAGATACTGGTGAATTGTTATTCGACAAATCCCTAAAGGTGAAATATTAGAGGTTGTTCTTAAGAAACATATAGATACTGGGAAAAACGATATAGTTCTAAATGCAGATTTAATAAAACAAAGGCTTGGAACTGATCAGGAAAATAGGTAATCATTTTTGTTAAACATTAGCCTAATGAGGAAGGTGGGTGGAAGTTTCAACGTTAACTGAAATTGCTGACAGCCCATTGCAGTGAATTATATAATAGCCAAACAAAATGCAAAAGCAGTGATTAATAACTGAATTCATTCTTAAAACCAGTAAACCAGCATCAGAGGAGATCCGTTCTGATTTTGCTGAAGCAATCACGTGAAGAATTTCATAACAGACGAAGAAGTGGATTTTCATTTATAACGCATTTCTAATTATCTAGCCATGATATTTTAGTTGTATGGGCCGTTAATTGTCAGAAAGTAAAAAATAAAAAATCGTATATGTAAAACAAATTTTGTTTTTGGTTTATGAAGAATTTTTTCCTTTCCGAATGCAAATTTATTTTAATACGATTTCGTTACATATTATTATTAACATGCCTATTTTGTTGGAATAAAAGGATAAGGCCAAAACAAATATCTCTGGATTTTCTTTTCAAAATACTTTTGATGACTTTTTTAGATCCGAAACCAATCTTCTTCACTCCGACAAGTACAATTCCTTTTTTAGACGAATTGTTTTACACGTATTCTTGAAGAATGTATCGATGATTTAAAAACAGAGTTAGGTGTACAATTTACAGACGGCTGACAGATAAACAGACAAATCTACTTATTCCATACTAACTTATCTCAAAATATTCGTCCGTATTTTAAACATGTACTTTAATTCATCCAAATTATTTTAAATTTTCAATTGCCTAAAAGCAGTTCTTTGGTGTAATAGTCATTCTGTTCGTCGAGCTCATGCAAATAAATACCTCATTTTATTTGATTTAAAAGATAATAGTTATAATTTTTGTGACTTTTTTTACTTCTAATTGCAATTAAATTTATTTTTATTTGTCTAGGATAACAGCGTGATGTCTCAAATGTGAGCCAGAAGATCAAGTTCTCTTACCCGAGCATCTCGACTGCAGCATTTGCCACAATGAGTTCGAAACGCTTGTGCAGCATCCACAAAATTCGAGAAATACAGTTACCTCTGATAGAACTTCCTGATCAGTACGACGTCATTCGGGAAATAGGTTCTGGAGATTATGGCAAGGTTCTACTGGCCATTCACCGTGATACTGATTCCCAAGTGGCATTGAAAGCTGTTCCTAAAGCGACCACACCACTCAAAGATTTTCTGATTGAGTTCCACTATAGCTATTTCCTATCCCCACACAACAATATTCTGGACACATACGATGTAGCCTTCGAAACGGTTGAGCATTATATGTTCGCACAGGAAGTTGCTCCATATGGTGACGTATGGCAAGTCATTGAAAGAACGGGAGGAATGGAAGAGAATGACCTGAAGATTGTTGTTAGGCAGATTGCTTCAGCGCTGGAGTTCATGCATAGCAAAGGTCTGGTACATCGGGACATGAGGGCAGAGAATATGCTGATATTCTCTGAAGATTTCTCTAGAGTGAAACTTACTGATTTTGGTTTGACGAGAAGAACAGATACATTAGTAAAAAAGAGGACAAGATCCTTGCCGACTTGTCCTCCAGAGATTTGGGAAGCAGTTCATCTTGAAGGGTAAGAAAGAATTCTAATTATTTTACTGTGTTAATATTTTTTTTTAAATTTACAGTATGTAACATTAATGAATTACATTTCTTGAATTCATCTGTGTGAGTAAAATCCAAAAAGTCCATGGAAGAGCAATACTCACATTGATTTCACTTCGTCTACTTTTGTCTTCTGACAAAGATATTTGCATTTATTTATTATGACAAATTACATAAACACTGTTTGTTTCTGGAGGAGCGGTTATGAACCTTGAACACGCATGCCCCTTTCCCCATGATTGGAAAGTCATCCCCCTTTTCCCAAATTCTAAAAATTCATATACATTTATTTAAATAAAGTTACTTCATAACGTGGTATAAATTAAACGACAAAAAGAAAGTGTGGGCAATGTTTATAAAAGCCAAAACCTGAATAAAAGTAGATTTTTTGTTCATGAACTGAAATTTCAGTTTTTATTTATTAGTATTTACAAACAGCTTATTAATACTTAACTTAATACTTACTAGTATTTATAAATACTTAACAGCTAAATAGAAACTGATCGCATTTCTCCGATACTGTGAAATTCTTCCTTGCTCGAGAATTCCCCCCCCCGTTGAAAACCCCTGTTTTAGGAGAAAAACTTTTTTGTTTTTGTAAGACCTGAAAAGTTAAACATTTCCAAGATGTTTTAGAACTACACATACAAGAACATAATCTCACAGCTATAGAGAGAAAAAAGAGCAAGAAAGGAATATTACTATAGTTTCTTACTTTGGAAACTGTTACTTTTTTCATCTTTTAATAAAATGATATTACAAATGAAAAATTTGTCCTAGTTCACATATTCGCCCAGTAGCAGAGAGCTGTTTTTCCTAAATTCAAAAGCATATTATACTGGTATATTCCCCCTTTCTTTTTTATTAATTTAACTACCTAAGAATCAAGAAGGAAAATTAAAGCGGTGGATACCATTTCTAAGAGAAGTGTATTAAAAAAGCAGCAGATTAAAACTTATGTATGAATAGGTGTATTAATTACCTGTATTATAGATTTCAAATATCTGATTACAATTATTTAACACTATTTTTTTACCTTAATAATAATAATAACTTAATAATAATAATTTTCTCCTTAAAAATGTAAAGCCCCAAAGTAATATTGCTGATTAAACGTTTTGGATCTCAATAAGTGTTAATATCTATATAGTAATAGTTTCATGTTTAGTCATCATTGCATTATTAGTGTTTACATAATCACTGCAGTGTTTGAATCCCATTTCAGTAAGCCCAACTTTTATATTTGCTTTGCTCCACCCCAGTCAACGGGAAAATATCTGCGACATTTCGGAAGACACTTTTTCTTAAAGATGCCATATTTTATTTCATAATTCATTCAACATATTAATGAGAAATTTTAAGTAAAACCCCTTTACGTATCGATTGAATTTTGCCTCAGCATAAAAATACTACCATTGTAGGAAAGATTGTCAAAATTCAAATTAAATACTGATCTTCATAGACATTTTTGCACCTTTTATGGTGATGCACAGCTTATAGGGAAAAAATTTACCTCTGTGAATTCTGAACAACCGTCATAAGATACTGGCATTATTATGAAATTGACCTTTTGTAGAAAAATATATAATATATAAAATAATATTTTGTAGAATAATATATAAGATATTGAAGGCCAAGTTAAAATTTATGCATGCAAACCAAAATTTTATACATTATATGTTAGAAGAAGAATACTTGAGTAAATAATGATTGCGAAATTATTTAAACAAATTATGATGCTCTGTAAAACATTTATAAACAGTCTCATGTGTGAAAGTAAAGGTAAGTTTATAAATACAATAGGCATTTTTTGGAAACAGGCAAAATAAAAAAATAGCAATCGCCTTCGCCGGGAATCGAACCACAGACCTCTGGAATACCGGCCCAGTGTGCAAAACCACCACACCACGAAGGCACGATAGGAAAGCGGGAGAAATACATTATATACTCCCTTTTTTTTAAAAGGGTGACTGGTGTTTTACGGGACCCAATCGCCAAATCCTGGGTGTGGAGATTTATCATCCACAACCCTTTTAGTTCTCACTGTAGAGACATTAGGTTAAGTGGAAAAGCCGTAGAGATGAAAATTAGCAATCTCCTTCGCCGGGAATCGAACCACGGACCTCTGGAATACTGGCCCAGCGTGCAGAACCACTACACCACGAAGGCACGCTAGGAAAGCGGGAGAAATACCTTATAAGTTTACAATCTACATATAAATTTACATAAATTTAATTACACATGATACCAATACCTTGTGAATGGCCTACATTTTCACATGAAAGTCCGATGAATTAATCAATGTCTTCCTATGCTTTTTATTAAATTTTTCAGAACTAAATATCGTACTTAAGCGACAAGAGCGAGTACTTCAGCGACATGAATACATATACCCAATTTGTTTGTAATATTATTTGTTGCGAAATTATTGTTTTCGGACTTAATAACAACAGTATGCACTAGTTGTCATTTTATGCTATGAGTACCATTAATAACTAAGGTATTATCAGTACCATTAATAATTAACGTATTAATAAGTTTTTAACGCTAAATAATAGGTTGATTGTACAATTTCTAAATAGCTTCTTATATATACTAACATTTCTAACTCTGCTTCTTAACTAATAACTGGATTAAAAAATAGCATTTAACAGTTAATGTGAATTTCCATCGTTAACTGTAATCTCCAGATGACCTTGTGTACACATTTCGTTTCCCCTTCTTTTATGAATCTGTAATTGATTACTTTTATATTTCTCCTTTATTCATTCTGCTTTCAAAAAATAAATGCAAAAACGTACGTCAAATCTTCTCAAAATGTTCTAATGCTACTGCAGAGTAAAGATTTGGTTTTATGAACTGGCAACAATGGATATTATTTTATTTAAGAGAAGAAGGAAAATACTTGTAATTTTTATATCTACAACCCTTTTAGACATTTTTAAAAATTTTTAATGGCAAACTCCTCTTCAGCTAAATGTAATCCTAAATTTGCAAACTAAAATTTTTTACCTCAGATACATGTAATGTATCTACAAAATTTTAGGTAAATTTCTTCAGCCTAATCCCACAAACGTTTTGTGAAATCAGTGTAATCCCACAAACAATAATCTTTCCAATTACTGCTTGTTAGGTTAAGCTATTTAATTACGCCAAAGCCTCGAGGGCTATCTGTCTAAGGGGAAGGATGCCTTCGTTGAGGACTTCGTTGAAGGGAAACTGGCTCGTATACACGTTACACACGGGGAAAACCACGAAAACACCTATGCAGCCAGCCCGTTCACGGCATTCGAACCTCGAACCGAACTACCAGTGTTCAGCGACTTTACCGCTCGGCCGCTGGTGGGCTTGAATTACTGCTTGTATGAGGTCCAGTGGGACTCACACAAACAACTAATGGAAAGATTATTGTAGATCAGAACACTTCAGAACATCGTCTCCATATGCAGAAAAATTTAAACCGAAATTTTTGTTCGAATTTATGCAGATTAATCAGAAATTGCTACATTATTCCGGGAGGGGTCTCATAGAGTAAATGCTTAGCGCCCTGCTAGCAAATTCGTTCGCGAAGGAGATTCGTGATTAGAATCTTGGTGACGGTGCAAATGAGTTTTCCCGTTTCTTGCTCCTAAAAGTTGTAAAGTATTTTACATTAATTAACCAATTTTTATTATTTAAATCTATACTATAACGTCTTCTTTTTTTTATCCCTTACTAAGATGCAAATGAGATTGAGGAGTATTTAATGTTAGGAATTTAAATGTTTTAGATAGAACTTTTGGTGGCACCGCTTGCAGTTTTATCTTCTAAGCTGAGCTCTGCCAACTAATAGTCTGTTTTTGCCATTTATTAGCCGACGTTAAAAACGCGCTATTAGAGTTTTCATTCAGCTTTGTTAGGCCAAATCTGTGTAGTATCCAGTTAAATCTTTCCCAACTTGTAAACTCAACTTCTGTTATTTGAAATACCCGCAAGTGGTGCAGTTTTCCTTATATAAACAACTTATGCTTTCTGATAGTTTTAATTTTAAATAAAAAAAGGTATTTAAAAATCTTCGTAAAACTTTGATGTACTATTCTAGACGGAGAGATTATTCGCTTATCAATGTAACAGATATGAAGGACTTCGATTTAATATTATACGAAAAAACCTACAAGCTGATTCTTTCAAGTTACAAATTCAAAGACCGGAAAAAAGACCGTAAGAATTTTATTGAGACAGCAAACAATAAAATGATCCCTTATAACTAATCAGATATTTGTTAATGACGAAAACTAGTGTTGATGCTGATAACCACCTGTACTAATAAGAGAAAGTTTTTCTTGGAAAGAAAAATTTCGAGTAAGGACCCTATTTATGATTTCTGTGACCGGCGAGGAGTTCATAAAAGCTTTTAACTTCAAGAAAGTGGAATGTGATCCTATATTTCAACAGGAAGACATATATCCGAATACTAAAAAGAATTCATCGAGTTAAACAGAAAAATTCTGAATGTTTGTTGCCCTTACGTAGATTGCAGCCGTCATCAAAATTCTGACCGCCAAGAAATGTGTAGCGTTCATCAATCATTTCCTTATTCTCTACTTTTGACATCTTTCGACTATTTTCTGTTCCCCAAAGTGGCATCTGATGTTAAGGAATACAATTTGGAAGCACTTAAGGAATTCAAAAAGCTTACCTAAAGAAGTATTATTAGCTCAGAGGGCAATAGCCCAGAAGGGCTATTAATCTCGTTTTGGAATTTTGAGTTGACAATTTTGAATGTCCTTTCCACTCTTCAAATTGTTGCCACCAAACATTATTCCCCTGTGATATATTTAAAGAAATTAAATAATGAAGAATCTGCATAAATTTATATGTGCTTCTCGCATTGTGATAAAACAACAGTACCTAGAGCCATCCAATTTTGAATAACGTAATCCTCCACCGAATATAGGCGTCTGGAAACCCTAATTTGGAGTTTGAAATTTGTTTAATTATCGATGTCATATTTTGTAACACTTTAACGAATTTTTTATTAACAAACTCAACTGTTTCAAAGCGAGCAATAAGGAAGAAAAACAGTTTTTATATCCAACGCGTGAGACTGTATATTGGAAATTCTAAAGATATGCTCAATTTAAAATTATTTTGAGATATTGCTGTTAAACTGAATTTTATGGTTTAAGTACGAAGAAAGTGATATTTAGTAAATAAAGATAACACACAAAACGTTAATGAAAGTTTTTTTTTTTTTTTTTTAAATGTAAAAGATTTTTAAAATCAGCGTTCTCCCAAAAGGATTTGTTAAGATTTTTTTCCTCTCTGAACTAGTACTCTACCAGTTTGCTCTTCACTCGCTCTTGCAAACCCCTTTTTTCGGGGAAGGGGTCTTTCCAGCTTTATTTTTAGGCACCCTTTTCTTCGCACTTGCGCGGCCTACAGTTCAATAACAAAATGAAAAAAAAAAAAAATTTAAAATCAGCATATGTTTAGAATTCCTGATGCAGAGTGAAGTGTTAGCATAAGTTTTTCATTTATTTTTCCTTTCTTTTCTCATTTTATCACATCAGTGTTCAGTTTTCTTAGCAAGATGACTTACGAAACTTGCTTTGCCTCTTTGTTATTAATGTTTAGTGTGTTAAATTTATTTACTAAACATAATATTATTTGCCGCTTTACGCAACACAAAATTCAGTTCAACAGTAAAATCACAAAATATTCAAAAACAGCATATCTTTAGAATTTCCGATAGACAGTCTCGTACACTGGAGATAAAAATGGTTTGCCACTGCTGACTTTGAAATGTTTGAGTTTGTTAATTAAAAATTTGTTTAAGTTTTACAAAATATAAAACCAAAAATAATAAAAAGAATTTCGAAATTCAAAATTTGGGCTCTAGATGCATATGTTTGGGTGGAGGCCAAAGTTATTAAAAATTTAACGGCTCTAGGTGTTGTCGTTTTTTCACAATGAAAGAAACACATGTATATGCAGATTCTTCATCATTTAATTTCTTTAAAAATAACACAGGGAGATGGTGGCAACAATTTGAAAAGTGATATGTCATTTGTAGCAAAATCCCGTCTCGATATTAATAACGCCTTTTGGAATATGAATTCAGCAGCTGGTTTCTGCAAAAGTATTCAAAAGATATGTGTTTGCTAAGCTAATACTGAAGGGGTGGAAATAAAACTAAAGAAACAAAACAACTTCATAATTCCAATTACTTCATGAACTTCCTCTAGTCATGGGCTGGCATGTTGCTATAGCTAAGTCTAACGGTAAAAATTGAGTAGTTATTTTTTCCTACATTATATGATACTCGTATATGAGGCAATGTAATTTGTTTGCTCTAACTAAGTACTTATATTTATCTATACTGATTATTACATTTTTTGCGGAAAATCAACTATATCCTCAGAGGGAATCGAACCACAGATGTTTCATTTCATTAACTGGATATATTAACTGCTACAGCTCAATATATTAACTGCTGCAGCTCATACCATCACACAATGTTGTAATCAAAGCTGCTGCATATAAGGTTTGCTCTTCTTGACCAAGGTCAACTAACGTGATGACGTGACGTCGATATCCTTGACCCGTAAAGCCCGGTTTTCATTAGTGACCATTACTGACCATGGCCACAATAGTTTTCATCCCCCTCACACACATTTAAAAGGGGACTGGAAAGGGAGATGAGATTCAGCAGGATAAATCCTGGGGTGATAAGTTATCATCCACGATATCTTAGTCCTGGTGCCATTGTACAACCTGTTAAACGTTTTTGGAGCTGAAGACATCGAAATTCATCTGTACCATTGGTGAGAACAGAGCTATGGTTCTTCCAGTTTATTAACTGGATATATTAATCATTGGACTACAAAATCCCACAGTGGAGAAATTCTGTAATTCTTTATTTTAGAACTTGCTTCTAATTCGTTTGAATCTTAAAGTTCCACCTACTTCTCACTGTTATCTTAAACTCAATTGCATTTTGATTCATATGCTAAAATGCTTGCACTTGAAATGAATATGAATTATTATGTTACAGATACAACGTTGAAATTGGTTCGGACGTGTGGCAAATGGGAATGTTTATTTTTGCCGGACTCCTCGCGAAATTTCCATGGGAAAAAGCTGACATCACGGATTCCAAGTTCTCAGAATTTGTCCAGTGGCAAAAGCGAAAGATCACTCGAACACCAAAAGACTTCCGGAAGTTTACCCCTAGGTTACACCGCCTTTTCCGCAGACTTATGGACCCAAAGCCATCCAAAAGATACGAAATTAAAGAGGTGAGTTAATTAATTTATTTTGAATATAAATTAATGTTTTATATGCCTCACAATGTAGTTTAGTTCGTGATTATTTTATGACTAAATGCTTATATCAACAATCAGTTACCATTCGCTAATCAGTGCAATAAATGAAGTAAAAAGTCCAGTTGTTAGTGCAAAATAAGATTTGCCATTTACCGAATATTTAACATTAGCTTTGAGACATTTATTTATTGTAAACGAATCTAAAACGTAGCCCCGCTTTGTAATTATTTGCCATTATTCAAAAAACAGAGCATTCTCAGGTGACCTACGATCTGTGTGATGACCTACCGTCCTTGCATCATGATTAAAACCTAAGAAACAGATAACATGATGTACTAAATCTCACCAAAGCACCAGGTAAATAAATAAATAGGAAGAATTTATACCTACGTACTTTTATTATATTACCGAAGTATTTATTACGTTTAAGAAAATAATGTAATTGCTTATAAATAAGTAAATAAATAAATTTGTTATAAATAAATAAATGAATGCATTTATTACATTACTACGTAGGATATTTATGTTAATTAACCCATAATTTTGTGTTACGAATCTATAAATTTTTCTCCTAAAAATTCTCTCTCCGTTTTCTTGCCAGAATGAAGATTTAGCTGGCCCGCTTTTAAGGTTTGAGCTTATTTTAGTCACAGCGTATTCTGCCTGCTGAAGGCCACGATACTAACTTTAAGTGGAAAGCGCTTCCCTGCAAAAAATAAGGGTACTATATTCTGGAAGCGCTTTGTAAGTTCGTTTATATAATTAAAAATAATTTATAGATTTTCATCTCTTCTTAAATTTTTCCTCCCCCCCCTTTTAAAATGCATAGTTACAGTAAAGTGAGTATTCACTGTAATACAGGTTATTTTTCACTCATCACATTGATTCCAATAAAGATTATGAAAACTTAAAAATTAAATAAGTATTTTTTCTGTTTTGTACGAAGTAAAGGAAGTATTTTAATGGCAAAAATTTCGGGTATCATATTTCAACGAAAATGTCCTTTTCGACCGATCTCGAATCCATTTGGATGGTTTTTGTTGCATGAAATTTGAACGTCCGGACAGAATAAAGGACTCTTTGCTCCAAAACGGACTGTAAAATCTATTTTAAATTAATTCAAAGGGATTTTTTTGTGACATCTATAATGTACGTATGTATATATATCTCGCACAACTCAAAAACGATTAGAAGTAGAATGTTGAAATTTCGTATTAACATCTAGTTGTGCACATTCCTTTTATTACAATCTCAGTGAAAAACTGAACTCAGTGGTATAACAGCCCTAGTGGGCCAATGCCTGCAGTGCCCCGAAGTGTGCTTTCTTGACCGTGGGCCCCGGGGTGCGTAAGCATATGTCCTGAACAAGTGGTCAGCTTGTTGCAGGACCCCCAGTATTTAGTCCCCAAGCAAACTTGTTACTCATTTTATCGACCCAAAGGATGGAAATCAAGGGATGAAAGGCTAAGTCGGCCTTGCCCCAGCCCGGGGATCGAAACCCGGACTTGTGGTATTGCTACGCGATGCGCTAGTCACTGCGCCACAGGGCCTCTTTTATTACAATCAGCCGTATCAAATGTTTGAGTGTATATATATACCATACCCACGCCTTTACCTGGCTTAAAATTTCTTTACCCGACCTTTATTTTGGCAATCGCTGGTCATAGAAAAACACTTCCAATTACAGAAGTGTTTTAAATCACGAAAATATTCCTTGTTTTGGCGACGTCAATTTTTTTTAAAGTAATATTCGTGAAATAACGCAATCTAACTCTTAATACGGTCTCCGGGTTCTTTCACTTGAGAAAGTTTAATACTCGTAATGGAAAAGAAAATACAAGAAGTTTGAGAGTCCAACAGGTGACAGTCTAACTTTACGCTCAGTTCCGCCCCTTTTTTGAAGGAGAGAACCCCGAGGAGCTGATATGAGGGTTTCCCACTCTTTTTCTCCTACCAGCAACCTCTCGAGAGGACTTTCGGCTTTTTGTATATTTTAAGTGCCCCCATGCCTACAGGCACTATATATTTACAAATATTAATGTATAGTGTACTAGTGTACAGCAGTCCTGGTCCCTTACCATCATCCCGGGCAGAATTTATATCTTTATAGATTTTGTCAAATGAAATAAAGTTTTATAAACAGTCCTAACTTCAAATGAAACTCCTGTTATTTAAAAGTAAATAAGTCGCTGATGCTAGGGCAACTTGAAAAGTCTGTGTATTCATTTTTGTTGATTCATACTTAACCAATGCAGTCGTCCCTTTCTTATATGGAATTCTGTATATTAACCATTCAAGCATAGAGAAGATCTCACAAAAGTAGAGATTTGAAGAATTATTTTCTGCATTGATTGGTTAAGCGTGAAGCAGAGGGAGCATATTTCATATCCTAATGGCCCAGATGGAAATTAAATAGAAACACAACTGAGAAAACCTCAGCTGCTAAATTAAGCTATTAGTTGTACGTGCTAGAAGAAAACTTCAGAAGGGAATTTAAACCATCAAAAGTAATGTAAGAGTTTCATTTGTCCATCTTTAAAGAACTTTAAAATAGACATAAGGGTTAAAAATTTAGTACATTAGAAAAGGAATTCAAGGATTGAAAGAAATATCAAAAAAGTTAAAACCGACATCGCAAGAATCGTAATAAAGTTGCTGATGTAGAAAATAAAATGGATGGACAGCTATGTGTAGGCGTCTTCTTACGTTGAAGAGCAAAACGTTGCTTGAATATAGCAAAGACATAAGAGTTTAAGGAAGAGGAAAGCTTTCGGGGAGTGTTTCTCCAAAGGAAACTAACTCGTGTTCACGTTACACAGAGGAAAAGCCATGAAAACCAATCATGCAACCAGTCCGTTTGTCTAGAATCGAGTCTGTGTCGAATTACTAGTATTCAGTGTCTTAATCATTAACCACTTATGGAGCTGCTTTCTAGCTGAAATTACATTTGGGATATAATGCGATATTCGCAGTAATGACGAATGATTTTGTTATTTGAATATGTCAAAGCACACATATACATTTTGCCTTCGTGGAGGACCTTTTATTGGAAATCACAGCGGCTTCCTCGCCGACACATTGACCAGTATTGTTCAGTCTACCGTTCGGCGTTGTGTCTGGTCGTTATTGACCATCATTCTGCCATTTGAGTACTAAGTAACTGTACAGGTACTGGTGCAGGAAGATTGTATTCAACTTAACCTAACATATGACATGTATGATTATGTTCACCTATAATTAAGTTCGATGCTAAAACTCAATAAAGAATTTTCTTTCGTTAAAGAGTGTATACGTTTTTCTGATAGACTCTGTATTATATGAATCTCCTTTATTCTTTATTCAATCACCAAATCTAATTTATTATTAAATGTCATCAGTGCGTAAGTTAAGTCTGTAGTCTTTCCAAAAATAAATTTATCCTTAACTAAAGAATTTATACGAAATTAATATTCAACGTCACGTAAAATTAGTTTGGAATTGTTTAAAGTACTTGATACTCTAACTGTCCATTGGATTGAATGAACTGCATCCCTGAACGAAGCTTATTTTTAACTCAGTATATGAGATAATTAAAGACAGCGAGCATTTTAAAAGCTAAAGCATCTACTGGCTTTAGTTACCTGCTACATTGCATAAGTTACCTGCTAGATTGATGTGATGCGTAGTTATCAGTGATGCATAGTTATTATCCATTATTTCAAAGCATCCAATTATTACATCATGTGAAATAATGGATGCTTTCAAATAATTTTTAACCTTATTTAAAAGCAACCATTATGACCACAAGTTAGTATTATCCGCAACTTAAAAGCATCCGTTATTGCAGCATGGTTATCATCATATTTCATTTTTATTTCAAAGGTACAATTTATCTTCTAGGTTTACAAGTACTTGGGCGACAAGTGGCTAATCTGCCGCAGCCCTCGAGTGACAACGACGGTCACCAGAACCGAAGTTACGGAGGCATCCAACTACAAGCAAGCTGAACGTCTCGGAGAGATGCTTACGAACCTCACGCTGGAAAACAAGAGTGAGAATCGTGAAGCAAGGGAACAGAGAATCAACAACTGGGTCTTGTCCACCTATGATGATTCTAGTTCCAGTTAAGTGGCAATGAAACCCAAAATGTGTTATTTTATATTTTGTACCATAATTACAATTATTCTACTACGGGTTCATCAGCCAAGTGTTCGCAGCAGCATAACAGAAAAGCCAATTCGCTATACGATTGCTAAGTTAGTTCCATTCAGTACTGTCTTTCAGGTTGAGCACAACATGTGCATCGGTTTGAACGACGAGTGAACACCGGATAAAACATTTGCGATTTCTGGTGAGCAGTGTACATTGCTGCAAGAACATAGTACAATGCTTTCTTTTCTACTAGTTTGAACGTGTTTAGGAAACAGTATTTTCGAAACTGAATGGTTTCTAGAAGTATTTGAATGGGAAGTTGAGAGAGATTATGGACTTAGATCTTTTTTGCAGAGATGATTTCGAGAGAAGTAAATGAACTGAAGAAGGAAGTTAATGAGTCTTCTGTACTTTATTTGTGTAATAAATGCACGTCAATTTGAAATTTAATACTTGCTATGATTTTTATCTTAATTTGGCTTTAATTTCAGCATAAAGATCTTCAGTAAGAAATCATTCGACAACGGTTGAGATCGAATTCGGGACACATATTGTTATTTTTGTTATTTTCCGAAATGAATTTTTCCCGAATAGAACTATAAAATGTTAGATAATTAGTTATATAATGGTTTTTAGCCTTATTCGAAACAAATTATTTCAAAATTAAATTTTTCAGAATACTAGAATTATAAAATACTAGATAATTAATTACATAATTTGGTTTTTGGCCAGATTCGAAACAAACAAATTATTTCAAAATAAATTTCTTCAGAATAGAATTATAAAATGATAGATAATTAATTACATAATTTGGTTTTTGGCTAAATTTGAAACAAATTATTTTAAAATGAATTTCTTCAGAATAGAATTATAGATAATTAATTACATAATTTGGTTTTTGGCCAAATTCGAAACAAATTATTTCAAAATGAAGTTCTTCAGAATAGAATTTTAAAATGTTAGTAAACTAATTACATAATTTGGTTTGGGGACCTAATTCGAATCGAATTATCATTTCTGAAATTATTTATAGCGGAAGAAGATAGTTGTTCTTTTTCCTATTCTTTTGAACATGTAATCTTTCGCTGAAATTAAGACCCAATTAAGATTCAGTTTTGGCGATTATTGAATTTGTCAATGTTGTTTGTTTAACTTCTGCAGAATAATTGTTTGGGATGTATTTCTCTCAATAATGCAACTCAGACGTTTCACAAATATTGATGATATTCGTGCGTTTTCGTATAAGAGGTGTTAGCTCCGAAGTGATGTTGTATTTTTCAATTAAAAAAGCATCATAATTTTGATGTAAATGCTTTTGTAATATCCAGATACATTTAGCATATACTCTGAAGTTTAATATGCATGCTTTAATGATGACTGAATTTGTATTTTGAAATATTAATTACATGCAATGAAATTTGCATTTAAAGAGCCTCAGATTCCCCGCCTATCATTAAAAGCTTTTGCTCAAATTAATTTATCAGTCACTAATGGTTAACCATATTTATGACTATTCAAAACAAACTTAACTATTAGCCAACAAATTAAAATTTTTCCACATTTAAACCGAGAAATATGTGGAGTCAGTAACTTGATTTATTTAAGAATGTTTACATTAAAGGCATTGGAATATTGTTACAAAACTATCTTGTACATTCCGAATGAAATTTTTGAATTCTCAATTATTGTAAGTTTTCATATGTAAGCATTCATTTCATTAATATGTAATGTGATATTAGCAAAACAAATTTCCCAACAATGATTTATTTTCTTAAAATATGTATATTTAAATTTACTTATTTCAAAACATAATATTTTTCCTATGTGTTACGTAAAAATTTTCATAACAACATCTTTGCGTGCGTACATTGATTGAATGTTTATTGCATTTACTTGTAGCCTATGTATATATACGTCTAGAAAGATTAATATTAATGCCTCTAAAGATGTTCTATTAAAACGTTTTCAATAAATGAAATTTAGGAAGAAGAGAAAAGCTCTACGTAAATATATAAAATCTCTTAAATGATATCTTTATGGCAAAACGAAAGTTCTTTTTCCTTGCTTAGGAAATTCCAATAAATTCAGTGTCTCAGATTTCCAGAGAGTTGTATCGTTATTGCACAAAAAAAATTAGCAATTTATTGCCATCTTCAAAATTAGTCTCATGTTTGTAAAACCTGCAGCCCCATGAAGGAATTAATAGATCAGAAAGAAATGTATGCCGCGGATTATTATTGGTAATGCAAATAAATCATTAAAGTTTCAGAGTAATACACGTCATTATTGACACAAAACCATTTTGAACTTCTGCATACGTTAAGGTATAGAAAGAAAGATACTCTGGGTACTTTCCTAGAATGTTACCTCCTATGATGTTTCAATCTTGATCCTCATTTTACCGATATTGATTGTTGGAAGAGAATTATGGGCCAACTGCCCAATAACCATTATACATCATATTCAGAGTACTTCGTATTAAGCATAAGGCAGCCCAGAAATGAAGTGGTATTATCTATGCTGCGAAGAAGGTTTGGACACTCTGGGCATCATGTGGTTGAGAGCTGCCTTGTTAGAATGGAAGTGTCGGTGGCAACGGATCGCTTATGGTAATAAATGACACATCACATCATCATTCTAAATGCGTCTGATATAACGTTCTAAAATGCATGTTGGAAGATGACGGTCATCGCAGTTCTGTCTTAACGCGAACATGGCATCATTATGTCCAGGTTAAAATGAAACTTCAGAAAGCAGAACCTGTTGACAATCTTCGCCAAATTGACTGTGCAAAATTGTCGTAACTTGAGGTGTCTGTAATTTAGGGTCAAGGACTCCTCCTCAAAGGATTGAATTCTTACATACAGTGGAAGGCATCAAATCTTGGTAGCAGTGCGTCACTACCACGTGGATAAGATAGCTGCCATTCCGTAATGTTGCCAAATTTCATGGCCACTACCTAAGTTTTGACTTGTCTACTTCTCTTCAGTCCATTATCTCCATATTTGCATCACTATTGTACTACTCTGCTCCGCATGAGCAGCAGTGTAGTGATGCAAATGTCTTCCTTCTTTCAGGCTGATTACTAGTTCTCATTGAAGTTCTGTAGTTTGCTTATATAACCTTTGATGTCAACAAGCCATCGTGATTTCTACAAGAGTTTCCATCTCTTGGAGACGAAGACAGTGTATACTTCCTTGGTTCCTCGACAACCCTCTGTGTATAAGCTTCACACTATAGTTCAAAGGATGTTGCCGAGTTTAACATGCAAATGATTAGAAATATAGAATGCATGTCTATGAATTTTGTATTTTTAATCACTTGCATGCTATACCCTGATTTATCTTTCCCGTAATTTTCATTCTATTTTCCTGATTACTTCATGGTGTTGCAATTTTCAGAAATATGAGTGTTTTAATATTAATAAAAGTCGCTGTTAAAATCTCTGTTTTAATGTGATACAGCTAATAGCATAAACGAAATCTTTTTCGATTCTATGTTGCCCACTTTTAGAATATAAAAAGTGTTTTTTAATCCTAAAACGAAAGATTCATATTGAAAATAATATATATGTAAAAGACTTATATGCTCATTAGAAAAATATGTGCAAAATATAAAAATGAAAATATCTTAAATGTCTATTGGAAGAAGTATGCATATAGTTTTGTGAAGCCTCTGATTTTGTTAATATAAACCATACTGAAACCCACCATCTTCCTTAATTACAACATTTAAGGATATATGCATCGAAGTCAATCTTAGCTCTTCAACATACAGAATATGCAACTAAATGTCATTTTTAAATCAATATATAAACATATGAATTATATATAATCTGTATATTCAGGTACAGATTTAGACAGCGAAATGTAGTTGTGATTGGATTTCGTTTCAAATACGTGATAATCGCGTTTTCTAGAAAAATATCATCTATCTTTATTACAACTTTTAACACATGAAGTTTTTTATATAATATTCTTATTTATGTATAAATATTTCAGAAATTACTATGTCTTCATATTTCTGCGCATACTTATGATTATGGATTGAATTGTTTTGGAAATTTATGTGAAAGATGCAGAAATTCAAATATGATGAATATTTATTCTATACTTAACAATACAATATAATAGATGTATACAACATATGATAATTTTAAGATAATAAACGAGTTCGCTGTTTCGTATTGTGTGGATTTTTGTTTTACAACACTAAAGACACTAAAAAATCTATCTACAACACTAAGGAAAAATACTACTGTAAGCTTCAGCAGCAAGATGTTCTCGCAAACTATAACATCAGATTTTCTGAATTTTTCTTCAAATTACCTTTCGAATTTTAAAGATTTGGTTTGAAGTTTGAAAATTAAAATATCATTGAATTTTAATGAAAAATTATGTATTGAAAGTTAAAAATTGCTGCTTGGTTTTAAATTAAACAAATGTAAAGTCATTAGGATTTTTGAAGACGGAGACATGAAAAATGAGCAATTTCCTCACCTGGACCCCTCGAATACGAGCCGAGTGTGCACCAACGACGGTCAGCATTTGTGTGCGTGACCACCCACGTGACTGATGCCAGCCTATCACTACCTTTCCACATGTGACTCCGCCCACACAGCTCCATTTAACTCACATTAGGTTTTCTCAATTTTGATTATAATACGTATACTGACCCTCATTACCTTATTTTCCCCACAGTGTTCGTTTTATTCTGAGCGTTTTGATGGGTCGCATGCCACATTTTGTCAATTACATTAAATAGATATTTCAGTAAAAGTCGTATTAATGAACTGATCTCCTACGACTTCTGTACTTCCCATCACTGGCTTGGGTCACTTCTTCTCTTCGGAAGATTCCATTTGTATTCTACGCGATATTTTTTTTTTCCCTAATCGGGGTTACCTGAGGTGCCAGTAATAGCGAGATAGAGTTCTTGGTGATTCTGACCAGTTTACAAAGTATCAAAGTACTTAACAGTATTTTTACCGTGGATTGCCGAGAGGATGGCTGGTTATACGAGCTACGAAATTTTCAGGGCGATGGATTCTTGGAGATGGTTCCCCAAGATCACCGGATCTCTCGTGTTTGGGCATTTTCCTGTGGGAACATATAAAACGCCTAACCTACGAGTGCCCTTGAAACTGGTATGGAAATAAGTCGCCGGGATCCGCGTTGTTTCGGGCGATATTTGGAAAATATCTGGTGTCTTCGCAAATGTGTGTCAGTCCCTATCTCGCAGATGTAAAGCCTGCGTTACAGCTGAAGGTCTTCTGAGCAATTTCTTTGAGCATGAACATCAGTTACATTTCTGTTAATAAAATGTTTTCTGAAGTTTCTTCTCTAATTCTTGTGTTCTTTAAATGTGGCAGTGGAAAACTACCCTTTAACTTCTCACCGCTTGCATTCCGACCATACATTCTATAACCAATATTTCTCGTATAGATGCCTTCTATCACCCCCTAAAGTTTTGCCCACTTGTTTAGATTCACCCTGTGTACACGTTTGGTGCGACCGATTGCAACACAAAACGAGGTGTGCAACTAAATATTATAGCAATCGCTTATACAAAATTTCCACGTTCTACGACTAATCTTTCTTTACTTCGTAGAAGAAAGTAAAAAGAAAAAAAAATTTTGAAAAAGAAAGATGATGAAAGAATTTTTATTACTGCTTAATAGGTACTTGGGATATAATTACTTTTTCTTTTAAAGTTGTTTATTTTTTCTTGGAACAATGACTGACACAACTCTTTAAAAGTTTCACGGGTAAGATGCGCAGAATTTTTCAATTCGTGTGATAAGGTGTCCTCTTCTTTCTTCATTTGGATCAGTTTCCACTTCAAAACCAGATGATTCCACATGTTTTTAACAAGTCCCTTAACCTCTTGTAAGTTAAAAGTAAGTTTCTCTCTTTCTTCATAACCACTGCTTTCACTGCCGGCCGATGTTATAAGATCACTCAGTTCTTCATTCTCCCTATCTCTATGAATTCTTTAACTTCTACCATATCAGAAAATCCCTCTTCAGTTGTTTTTGCAGGTTGTACGATTTCTTTGGCTTTATTTTCCAATCGATCGAAATCCTTTCAAATTGCTGATAACTTCTGGCCGGAACTGATGTCAGCAAGAATTCGGTATTGATGGAAGAACGCTGAACCGCGTATGCATGAATGAAGTCTAGCTTATGAATTCTAGCGTTGGACAAATGAAATGAAAACAATTCAGAAAACGCATACAGCCGGAAATCACGTTTCGCAAATGCACCCTCGCAGAAGTTTACTATTACTCGGTAAAAACGTCCTCTGGTTGGAAAATTAAGAACCTTGTATTCACATGCGAAATGGTAAACTGAAATTTGTCTCTTCATCGTCTGCCTTCGTGAAATTCAGAAATAATATGCTATCTTTCTTTTCCATTCCCGACTATAGATTATTGTGAATACTAGAAACATATGCTTGTAATTAGACTAAAGAACACGTTCGCCTTTTGCAGAACTTCACGTATGGAGAAATAATTATCTATATATATAAAAAAGAAAGTTTGTGTGTCTGTCCTCTAATACCTCAGTCACTACTATAGCTATCGTCACCAAACTTTCTACGATTCTTTTGTGGCTTGGATCTTGGAAAAGGTCGACGTCCACTTTTTAGTAAAAAAAAGTACCCAAATACCCAAAGAATTTTACCATATTTAATTAAAAACTCAGAAAAACGATGATTTTTCGCTCTCATTTTTCCCGAGTGGCAACAGTCTCGCAAGCTGGAGATGAAAATCTGCTTTATTTCAAAAGTTGTTTCCGTTGCTCGCTTTCAAATCCTAGAGTTTGTTACTAAAAAAATTTCTAAATTTTACAATGAAATAAAAATAGCATTGCCAAACATTAAATACATTATTCCCGATTCAAAAAAGTCGTGGGAAGCTAATTCTACTATTCTCATCTTCGTGAGACTTTAATCAGCGGAAATATTAATTAAAACCTCTGAAAGCGCTAATTTTCGCACTCATTTTTCCGAATAGCAACAGTCTCGCGCGTTGGAGATAAAAATGCTTTATTTCGAAAAGTGTTGCTATTGCTCGCTTTCAAATCGTTTAGTAATCAAAAGTTTGGAAGTTTTATAAAAGCTATACATATAAAGAAGAATGCCTGTTTGTTTGTTCGCGTTATTGATTTCTGATCAATTATGATCAACGTTTTGCCGCATTTAATCGACTAAAATTGAATATAGGTGATATATGGGATGGAACTTGAGACTAAGACCATTTGATTAGAAAGACGAAAATCATTAAAAACTACCTGCCATTGTTGCTAATATAATGAAAGAGAATTAGTTTATTTTTCTTTCGAAATTTTCTATGTGGGTTCCGTATTCCATCAAACTGAAAAATATATGACTATATTTTTTGCATCGCTATTAAAGAAGGATTGCAGCGGTATCGTTCTGTCTGTTGTTAGATGGATTACTTTCATTCTAACTTAACTGGCATCGGGTACTTCGCTAGCGCTTGAATAAAGATGATCACCGAACATCTAGCGTGCTCTTAATCTTTTCTAGGTTGCTAGACTAAATTTTTATCATTACAGATGTAATAATCGCGTGTTTGCTACGTTTATTATACGTTATATACGTAACACACATATGTTACAACAACCCTCTATGAACCGATAACTCATTATCATTAGACATTGCATTGATGGGAAAACGTTCAATATGCGTCCTATTATTAAAATTTTAAATGAGAAAGGATTTTAATTGTGATCCTATTTCATAATATCAGATGTAGTTTAAATAATTATGAAACTATTAAAAATTTGATAAGAAATTATAGTTAAAATTTTTCTTAATTTCGTTTAATCTGCAAAAAGAATTGTAACTTAAACAAGCAGAAGTTTAATTTTCTGATAAAATCATTTAGGTTTAATTGTTTTCACTCCTGAAACGAAATATTTTTCTACTCCTGAGCAACAGAGACCTGTATCTGTTCGCCCATTTTTTTTTTTTTTTTTTTTTTTTTTTTTTTAGAAACTGATAGGTAAGAGAGATATCTACTCCAAACAAAGATTGCTTTTTTTCTTACCTAATTTTAAAACTGTATGCTAAAGAAATATTACCAATGTTATTAACTGTCAATTTTTGCTTCTAGGGTAGGACTGCCTGCTTCTTTTATATTTTAAACTTGTAAAAATAAAATTTTGTAAATTGAACTGTTTTCAGGTTTTACTTATTTTTATTTCTATTTATTCATTTTGACTTTTAGTCCAAAGTGGCTTTGTCTCTGAGGGATTATTGCTTTCATTTTGCGATTTTGCGTCGAATCACTCTGAATGTCCGTTTCACTTATCAAACTATTGCCACCAAATATTAGAGCCCTGTATTATATTTGAAGGAATTAAATAATGAAGAATCTGCATAAATATATGTATGTATCTCGCATTGGAATAAAACAACGGTGCCTAGAGCCATCCAATTTTTTGTGACTTAATCATACTGCGAATATGGGCATCTGGAAGCCCCAATTTGAAATTTGGAATTTGTTTTATTATCGATTTCATATTTTGTACAACATTCACAAATTTTTGATTAACAAACTCAAGGATTTCAAAGCGAGCAATGCCAACGTTGTACAGAAAAAAAACAGTTTTTATCTCCAACGCGTGAGACTGTTTATTGGAAATTCTAAAGGATAAGATCATTTTAAAATTATTTTACGATATTGCTGTAGAATTGAATTTTATGGTTTAAGTGAGAAGAACATGATATTTAATAAATAAAGGTAACACACAAAATGTTAAAAAAAGGGCCGCTTTGGACGTAATTTAAAATCTGAAGTTATTTATATTTTCCTTTACCTTTTAATTACTGTATTTTTATTTATTTTTCTGGAATTTGGAAGAAATATTTTTGATGTCTATGCAAGCGTTCTTGTTTTGATGTTTTTCTTTCTGATTAACTTTGGTGATTCCTCATAGTAATAAACATAAGAATCAAACCACAAAAACATGAGAATTATAAATATAAATGTGTGCTACAGTAGGCGCCATTTAGTGTGACGCGGTTAATGTTACCATTCGGATATTATTATAGATTTTCGAAAGACGCGCTCGTTTGGGTATGAAAACATTGAAAAGGCATCGCTTATTGTGATCAACGATACGATTAATATGACTAAATTGATGTAGAATA